ACTACATCAGTTACATGAAATGGCTTAATGCTATGGATTAAAGAAGAAAGTCAAAACCTGAAATTCACATATTCCTGTTATACGAGTTTCAGCGCTGAGTCACTACCATTGATGGCAAATTTATTATATAAAACCGGATGTATAAATAAGCTATTTAAAATTGACGCGGATCTTTGTGGATCGGTGAAGCATTATAATCGCAAAGATGTCACACAACACCTTTCCACTATAGGTATACGTACATACATATACACACATCTATCTGCATTCATGCATTTATAAAACCACGTGCCTGAAAATATTTGATATTTATTTCTTTTATACTGACACCCTTGGTTTCTTTTAGGTTTTTTGTTTCGAATAAGTACATATTTACCCACATGAGTAAAAAACACAGATTTATTGTTTGTATTAAGGTTAATAAAACATTAAGTCTCAAATCGCAAATTATTCAATCACTTTTAATATAAAGCTGAGTTTCTATGATGGTATTATTCTAAAATAAACTTGTCAAAGTTTCAGCGTAACTGTATGTATGTACATATACATATTATACGATGCACCCGTTTACAAAAAACAAATTTTAATAAACTAAATAGATAAATCTAAAGCGAGATTAAGTATATTCAATTTGTAGTCTTCATCGTTCATGCTGTCCTCGTTACTGGTTCAGTCTATTATATAATATCGTTGGTGAATATTTAATCGTATAAAGGCATTTTAGGATATAGAGGTGTGATAACAAACCATTCAAATACTCAAGAAATGTTATACGGTGTAGCTACTCCTTAAGGTGTCTATGACGCACTGTAAAAGATACCTACTAGGCATATTTATAGGTACCATATAAATAATTATAAATGTAAAAAAAACTACCAATCCGGTTTCGACATTTTTTTTGCGTTCAATAACCTGCTTTTGTCTTAAACCATACCTTGTCTATTCGTTTGTTTGTTAATTCACATTTCACGCATTATTAAAAAAAATAACAGATTTTAATGACATTTTTCTTTGGAAAATACTAATTTGAAAATAAAGTTAACTTTATTTAACTAAATTTTTGCAAATACTAGGAATTGTTAACTTAATCTAAATACATAGAGTCAGTAGGAAAGTTACCAGTTGTGTTTTTTATAAAACAAAACCCGGAATAATTGGATTATATTTTCTCTTACTTTATTTTATTATGTTACTCTTCACAATTTCATTTACAACAAACTCTTGAACAGAGTAATATGTTCTACTTACTCTTAAACAGATAGGTACTCTTGCTTGAGTCCTTGCTCTATACATTCTTATTTGAAGCGGTCATGAAGGGGTCATGTTTCGGGATTGTTAATTTAGCAATTTACATTTCCAGACGAAACCATGGGCATTAGCTATATAGTCTATTGTGAATTTGAATATAATAAAAAATACATCTGATAGAGTACAAATGATAAAAAATATGTTTTTATATACACAAATACTTTAGAGGAAAACTTCTGTGAATCTTTAATAAGGATCGGTATCTCTATATTTTAGTTTACATATTAAGTATATATATACATATGCAATAGATTTTATCTACTCATTAGACAGGTTATATGACCATCAAATACTGCAATAACTTTCTACATTACATTATTAAATTATTCAAAGACATGTTGTTAAAAGTGGACATAACAGTATTAAATTGTAAAAGAACTTCATTGTTTCGAAGCTCATAGACTGGTACTTCGGAGTCCTACAATAACAAAGCAATGTTTGCGATCGTCAAATATTTTATTTGCAGTGCGATGAGAAAACGGGCTGTGCATCGGGGTTCGAAACTAGGGCACCTAGTTAACCCCTCCTCTCCTCACCGAAGGGAGTGCCGACCTATTTGTTTCCTGCTTTACGTAAGCCCGAGTCGGCCTTGGCGTACTCTAAATATGACTATGATACCCTTTGTTCTTCTCGTTTCAATGCAAGCTCTAGTTTAAGAAAAAATAATATAAAAAATTGATGTTCATTAGCAGACAAGAAACTTCATAAAATATAATTGAAAAATAGTTGCTACAACTTCTTTTCATTAACGTTGAATTATTTATTTAAATTAGTTAAATAAAACATTATCTAATTTATAAAAATCTCGTGTCGTGGTGTTTGTGGTCGCACTACTCCGAAACGGCTCGACCAACTTTAATAAGTTTTGTTTTGTATATTTGGTAGGTATGAGATAGGCCGTGAAGTAATTTTCACTCTCATATCCCACCCTCCATTTTTCATTTTAATTGCGATTTTAGTATTTTGTATGAACAATATTATGTATATTAATGCTAATATTATAAATGTGAAAGTGTGTTTGTTTGTTTGTCCTTCTTTCACGTCGAAACGGAGTGACGGATTGGCGTGATTTTTTGTGTGGAGATAGTTAGAGTGACATAATATGTTATGTTTTATGAAAATACGTTATATCAAATATACATATACAATCCAAAAAAATATTTATGATCAGAATTACCTGAAACTTGGTATTAATGCTGTTCAATAAAATTAAATAAATACGTGTTATAGCATTTTTCGAAATTCATCCTATAAAATAGGGGACGAAAGTTTGTATGAAACTACCTTTGTAGAGATTTTTTTGTAGTTTTAGCGAGAGCTAAGCCGCGGGTACTGCTAGTTACTTATAATTATTTAATATTTATAAATAAATAGCGACGTTGAGTCGCTGTATAACATAAATCCAAAGAAATTTTTTTTGTAAATTGCACGCGGGCGTAGCCGCGGGCTCTTCTAGTATATTTCTAAAAATAAGATACACGTCTTTTAAGTGTACGGTCAATTTAATTTATCTATACCTACAATATAATACAATTGATATGAAGCCGAATCTGTACATTAAATATTTTTTTGGAAAATCTTATTGAAATAGACGTTATTATCGATACAGAGGCCGAATCTATAGTTTTAGAATTTTTGTCTGTCTATCTGTCTGTCTGTCTATTTATCTGTCTATTACTGCATGACGGAAAAACCACTGGAGGGATTTTGATGAAATTTGGTATAATAATAACTGGTTATCCGGGTCAACATATAGGATACTTTTTACGGTGGAAAATATCTCATCTCTGAAAAATCTATACTAAACGTTAAAACGCAAATCGGGACGAACCCGAACAGGAAAAGGCAAATTCAAAAAGTGATGTTGGGTGGACAATTATTTTGCCTGCCTGCATTATTTTGGTGCAGAAACAACGTAAATTGGAATGAAGTTCCATTATACGAAAACTTTAAAAATGTAAACATGTTGTACTAATATTATAAATTTTATGTATTTTATGAAAGCACAAATTGCAAACACATAAAACTTTACAAAGAATTAGGAACAAGGGAAAGTAGATTTAGCTTGGATTGAGTTAAAATTCCAAATGGTCTAATGATTGAAACTTTCCCTTTCACGCACGGAGCGAGCGTTACAAAATAAAATTAGTATTGACCCAAATGTGATATAATGGCTGTGCCTGCATGAGAAAAAATGTGCGATACATACGAATAGTTACAAAAGTATATTTAAATTTATAATTACAATTATATTTTGATCTGATTTAATTCAGGTGTTTTATCTACTTGATACTTTTTATCGACGTACAGCACGCGCAGATCTTTTGGAAATCTCGGAACTTAGGCGCGAGTCACCTAAAATATGTTACTGCGCAGCCATTGGCTCCCTTCGACACCTAAAATATGTTACTGCGCACCACTCTCGCTTACTTCTGAGCCCTGTAAAATATTAGCGCGCACTGTAATAGCAGACGAAGTATATCATAAATACCTACATGATATCTCTAGTTCTTTAGGTCGGTACGTAAGTTAGGTAAAAATTGAAAATATTTTTAAGTTAACTTGATAGTTGTTGAAGGAATGCACAATCAATGCCCAAGTTAAAGTACAAGAACATAAAATTTAAAGCATTGGTATTTACGCAGTTTTTTACCTATGGTTATACAATTGTATTGCAAGGTATACTAAGATCTGAATATGATCGCACTTGACCAACATCATTTTACTATAATAGAAACCAAAAGTTGTAATATTTAGATGGCCGTATGTAGTGTCAGCAAGTGGAAAATTCACTTGTAATCATTAGTAACGTAGGTCTCATAACGTTTTTTGGTAATTTTAATTTTATTTAAATAATTGAAAGATGTAATAAATATGTAGGTACTAGTAGGCATGTTTATTTATCAGATAACTCTAAAAGATTTTTTAATAGTTATTAACATTCTTTAATAAGGAAATAAAAATTAGCTAGACCACGAATAAACAATCATTGTAAATATTTTTTATTCCAACTAAAATAATAATAACAATTCTATATGTCTATACATCTTATATTTATCATCAAAACAAAAACGTTGAACTAAACTATCATCCCAATAAATTGAGAGCATAATAATATTACACTAGAGTCATATTAAGAGCATTTATACTTAAGGACGTATAAAAAAAAAATTACTTAAGTTACGGATTTCCTAAGTACCTACCATCTATGGAACACAGATATCATGTACGGCGTACACGATCTATGTATGACACATCGAATGTCTCGATCGATCATACTTCGCCTGCTATTACGTCGATAAAAAGCCTGTTAAAAAGATGTTTACGCATATTCATAAGAAATAATTTATACTAAGAATATTAAGCTTGTCTTTAAGTCTAAGTTATTATAAAACATATTAGGCCAAATTTTGTAGTTTAATGTATAATGCGAAAGTCGTTGTGTAGACGTTTTTTTGTATGGTAGCTTATTATAATTTACTTTAAAAATTTTCTTATTTCCTGCGAACATTTGGAACATCACATTTGAAGATCATTTTATTGTATTGTAGGCTCTATGTACTAAAAATTATAATTATATTACTATATCATTGTATATTTATGTTTTAAGAACATAAAACAATTAAAAAATTTAGGCATGTAAGGCAATTGGAGGTTAATTTAAAGAACAGTCAAGAGTCGAATTTTAGCTATTGGAATGAAACAGTGATTGTAGCGTTTCCGTTTGAGGATGGAGCGTTTTGGCGTTTTGCTTTTGCCAAATGCGACGCGAGGCGGGGCGGGAGGGGTGGGAGGGGCGTTGGAGCGAGAAGTTCTTCCGCGCATACGTATAGTCGTATAGAACACAATGCGGCATCGCTCTGCGTCGACGTGGTCCCGCGCGCCAGCGTACTAGCCACCGCAATACTCATAAATACATATAGCACAGCATCCGCCACTGGCATAGTGCATACCACCGCCGACCGAAGCCAGAGACGCCGACTGCTGCCCGCTCCCAGCCCCCAGGTAAGTGACGCTCCGCGATATCCTACTCCTTGTTCGCTATCTTTGCGATTTTTCCCTTTGATGTTCTGCTGGCGTCATTTCTACGACCCGTGTTATCAGTTGACACTCGAGTATCGTTTGTAATGTGTAACACTCGCGCTTCGCTAATTACGTTATATACTTATTAATATAGGACACCAGGTTGAATCAATGTCTCCGACGACGTTGCAATTATTGTCCGTGAAACCATTTTGAATTATTTATAAGTACTATAATTTTAAGTGTGTTCAACTTAATTAGAAATAGTGACGTATCATATACATATGTACATCTAATGGAAGCTTTTTCGAGTGTATAAATTCGCAACGTTTAGCTTTTTTATTATCACAACTGAATAAACATGAGTATGCTGAAGTAACCACCGGATGTGATAAGGATTTGAGTGACCTTAAAACTTACATTTTCTTGTTCGAAAAGCCAAACAAGAAATTACAAGTTAATCCATGTTTGTAGTTTGATATTGTGTAGTAGGAAGAGTCTACTCATTAAATAGGTATCTTAACTATATATCATTTTTGGACGTAACGTGTAGTGCTTATGTCACGGTTTTGACTAAGTACCTATATGAAATATATTTAAAAACATCTGAATTAATAATTTAATGCCTTTTAAATTTTATATTAACCTACTCCATTTTATTTTATACCTACTATTTAATTGTTTTGGTGTTACCATACAGTTAAGACCATAGAATAATAAGCGTTATTATTCTAATGTAAGGTTAAAACCTTCAATCCGTACTAAATTAGAAAGAAAATTTTTATATTTCGTTCGTGTCGAACAGTTTAAATACTAGATGATAATGTCTTTCCAACATTCTAGAAATACTAGTACCGTGATAGAGCCTGTCTAAATACAATAAAACTGTAGAGGTCGAATGTCTGTAAATACAAAAAAATGCTAAAAACCGAATCAGGGGGATGTAAGAAGAGAAATAGAATAAATCCAGATTCTTTTTCAATTCCTTTGGTTCTCTATCTGTTTGTCTGTTTGTATGGGCTAATCTCCGTGACTGTTGGACTGACTTAAATGAAATTTTGCATGGTGGTACCTTATATCCCCAGCCAACATTTTAAATACTTTTCATCCCGGCAAATTAAAGAGTTCCAATGGGGTAGTTATAAACTATAGTAACTTATACAGCTTAGTACACAACAACTTATGCACCTAATTAAATAAAATTTGGCATCCTGATACCTTATATTGCCGGTCAAACGACAGTTTACTTTTTATCCTGGTTCCCGTAGGATAGATCTGTTTGTACTTTTCTAGAGGCAAACACTAGCGAGGCGAGAGTGAGCCGCTAGTTCATAAATAATCTTAATTGATAATATCAAGGATAACAAACATATAATCATAATGTTGTAAACAATAAGCTAGAAGGAGAAAAAATCTCTTTCTCTCCCTTAATGGATATCTATTTATATTTCATTTATAATATATAGCTATTATATTTCAAACATAATAATAATTAAAGGCAGTGTTAGTACAGCGGTAACGCGCTCGCTTGGGAAACCGAGTGAAGCGAGTTCAAATCCCGGGTCCCGCACCTCTGATATTTTCATGTGCGAATCATTTCCAACATGATTAGCACTTGACTTAACGGTGAAGGAAAACATCGTGAGGAAACCTGCATGTCTGAGAGAAGCAAGTTTTCAAGAGACATGTGAAATCCGCCAACCCGCACTTGGCTAGCGTGGTGGACTATGGCCTGATTCTTCTCGTACTGAAGGGAGACCCGTGCCCAGCAGCGGGACGTACATATTACCATTCAAATAAAAAAGTACGGACGTTCAGAAAACAATGATTACAATTTCTTAAACTACTCTAATGACTAAAATCGTCTTCATGATGATGTCGTTGTACGTCGTAACTTTCTTTAGTTAAACAAAATTTTACCTCTGAACTTAAAATGAATTTAGTTTGCAATTAATATTATAATAGGGTCCTCACACGGACATTATTAAAATCTAGCGGGGCACTCTTTCATGGTTTTAAGTTAGGTAAAATAAGTAAATAGAGGAATAATGGATTCAATAGCTTTTTAGTTCTTATTAAATGCTTATAACAAGCATATTTTATTTAATACAAGTATTTTTATTTAACTTTTTTTTCGTGATTTTTTCCGATGTTTTAATAGTTATTCTGCTATTCGGGGTCCAACAAAATAAAGATACGAGATAAGATAAACAAATCCAACAAAATAAAGATCATTAAAATTGGTCCAGCCGTTCTCGAGTTATAAGTGTTGCAACAAACCCGACTTTGTTTTATATATGAGTATGTATACCTATAATATAGATAAGATTTCAGTCTATGTTATAATTATCGTAATTATATCGTACGTATTGTTATATTGACATATAAATATAGGGTATTCAGCCCTTTTTAACGTCCCACTATTGGGCACGGGTCTCCCTACTATACGAGGGGGATCAGGCCATAGTCCACTCCGCTGCCAAGTCTGAGTTGGCGCATACATAGAGAATATCTTAATTTTATTTTGCTTGAAGTGAGAAAGGGAAAGTTAATTACTGTAGAGTATAACATTTGTTGTTCTTTGTTTTAACATTGGATACAATTATTTTGATTATTTTTTTATTCATAACTGCTCTACATTATTGACCAAAACTGTAAAACTATGAATTATTTCATTATTTATTGATCATATTAAAATAAACAAATGGATTTTTGCTCTATCGTGCACCATGACAGACTAAGTACTTTTGTCGCGCATGAGGTCGATTTCGACAATTCCACGACCAGGTCTGCTTGATCTCTGACTGCCTCTCCTAATATTTACATGAGCTGCCTCACAGTGTAGCGCGCTCCTCTTCTCCGAGGTCTCATTAGACCGGCTGTTGAGATACTAGCTTTGCCTACGAATTACGTTAGCGGCTGCGCAGTGACGGTGCTCCAGTTATTTCGGGTACTGTCCTAGATCCAAACGAGGTCACCAGAAGCGCGGTTTTCATCATCAGCAGCGAGTTTTATTCGATGGGGCCGCGTCGGGCTGTTTGACCTCGGAGATATGTATGTACGAGTTAGATAGTCATTAACGTGTTAACTCATACCAATTAAAATACGTCTCGTTTATGAATAACTAGCGACTCACTCTAGCTTTGCTTTTGGGTTCGTCCCTAGACAAAAACAAATACATCCCACGAGCATCGTAATTTTTTTCGAGATAAAAAGTAACATATGTCTATTCCAAATCTATCTCTGTGCTATATTTCATCTAGATCCGTTCAGCCGTTCTGGTGTGAAAGAGTAACAAACATCCATCCATCCATACTCACAAACTTTCACATTTATAATAGGTATTAGTATGGATTGGTCATTATTCTGTAACAGTACCTATTTTTGCCAAATCATATCAACATTTTTGTCGGCGTAGAGCACATGTTTAATCTATTTGACTTAGAGAAATTAAGGTGATACAGCTCTTATTATATAAAAAAATCATGTGGGTTTCGAACTTCGATATAAATTTGGATTTTAGTTTATTTTAGCAATTAGGTAATATTTACTAACTTTACCAAAAACTTACATTATGTTTTATAATTTTGATTATTAATTGAGAAGTAGAGACTAAGAGACTACACGTATAGTAAGTAGTAAATGAATAGTGCGAAATAGACGGCGAAGGGGAGGTGCCATTTGGTTCAAAGTAAGCCAAGGCCGACTTGGAGGGGATAACGTTTACACGTGTGACCTACATAGAAGCCGACCGCGCACGGAACCACCCGACGGCAGCCGAACGAACACTCGCTATTTCCTATTCTTTGATCAATACGGAATGTTAGCTATATTAACACAGCACCTAACGTTCCGTTTCAAGCAGTTTACTTGGACCGAATCCTTCTTCCTCTATTGATAACAGTGGTCGTACTTTGGAATATTTAAATCTAATTGCACGTGGCTCCTAAACACGCACGTGTCGTACGGACAGTTCACTGACCCGCAACAAGATTCTTTTTTAAACTATTGTTTTGAAAAAAACCACCACCGACTTCTACCTTTATATGTAGTAATGGAACGTCATCAGTCAGCGTCTACGGCATTTGAAACAAAACTTTGATAACGTTCGTGAATAGAGTCTGCGATCGCAGCGAGAACCGCGGCGGTTGCTTCGCACGGAACGCAGTGCATCGATCGCGATTACATCACCACTCGCGTCCTTTCTCTGCGCGCGCAGAACGCCCCGCGGGCCGCGCTGCCCCCGCCCCCCTCGCCGCCGCGCTCTCCCCTCTCGCCGCGATCGTCACTAAGCCATCGCTCGCCGTTACGTGTTACCATTCGCTGTTTGATCGTCGTCCGGTATACTCGTATCCGCGCTCATAGCATTCTCTAGTGGAGTTAACATTACCCAACTGAATTATTGTTAGTTTCTCGTACGACTGATATCGCGGCTGACGTAATGGGAAGTAGGAAAATTTAGTGACGTTTTATTTTTCATTTAGGAAGTGTTGTTCCGTCTTAACTTTTAAATTTGAATTGTGTTTAGAAATTTATTTATTTTTATTTTATTACTGCTAAAATTATATACCTACTTATTTTTAAATTCTTTTAATTCTATTTTAAATCGTGGTTCGGTAAAGCGATTACTCATTTTTTTTTATTATTTCATCATGTGACTCGTACTTTAATTATTGAAATTTGGCGGGAAGTTACGTTTTGTATCAATTTAATTTCCTTTTAACAGAATTGAACTTTGAAGAGGAAACATGAAGAAAACCTGAAACTTGAAGATTAAAATGTCAGTCGTGTGGTTGGGAGAAATTGACTTGGCTTTGTCATATCAGTCAGTCTTTTTCTCTCTCCTATATGGTCGACATTAAATATCAACATGGAAGTCGGAATCATCCAAGCCAGCTCTATCATCAAGCTATGTCCGCAGTGACGTCGGAGATTACGCAGGCTGTTATTTATTTCAGCTGCGAAATCGCTGAATTTTCTGCAAGTGACATAGCGTTTAGTGTTACGTCTGTCTTATATTAAGAGTAAAACTGTACTTTTATAATATTGCATTCGCCATTGTTCGGCTTAGTCATCGCGCTTCATGACGAAATAATCGTCTCTACTCGGCTAACGGCGGGAATTGGGCAATCCGCGAGCGAGCGGATGTGCGCTCGCGCCGCCCCTCCCCCGCATGCCCCTCCCGCACTCATTCGCCCTGCCTAAAATTTCAACTTACGACGGTTAGCACGAGTTGAAGGGAACAATTACTGCAGCCGTCTCTTTATTTTTTTTTTATGATTCCAGCCCTCATGACTGCGATGTCTTCATGGCCACCACCTTTTGTAAAATTCTTTGATTTATTATTATTTGCATATTGCGATTGATAATTATTCTGCATTTGCGATAAGATAATATGCATAGCGAATAAGGATTTCGATTTAATTAAAGTTTGTTTGAAAAAAAATATAAATTATTTCGTTTTTTTCTTTTCCTTTTCAGACTATAAATATAAAGATTTTGTTTATAAAGTCTAACAATACTAAATAACACATAACTAGCACTATGTGCTATTTATATTTAACAAACAAATTTGGGACCATGTGGGTGCCACCCCCGGCCCGCCCTCGCATGCTCCGCCCAATAACGTGCCGCATCCTTGTCCTTAAGAACTTTGATAGTTTAATGTTTCATTCCACTAATAATACAATGGTTGCTAGGCGAATTAAAGTAATATTCTGACAAAAATATAAATACATACGTACCAGTAAGTGCATATCTAATTGGCATAATAATATTAAAATTAAATGTAGTAGGTATAGTAGAAAATGTGGAATTTTAAATGATCATAGGTATATATTCCAATTGGTTTTAATGGAATAATTGATTGAAACTCTCACTTATTTTGGCCAACACTAACTTATCCTATTTTTATCCGGTTTTTTTATAATTAATTATGAAGTTACTTACATGCTAATTTCTCTTTGTCTTCAGTTAACTGTTATATAAATATTCGCTAACCGAAAAGCATAATTATTTTATTATTGATAATAAAAAAAATTACTATTTAAACAAATTACTATAAAAGCAATAAGAAACAATCTTTTTTTTATTTAACACACAGATAGTTGGAGATCTGGAGAGTGACATATTATTATGTCACTCTCCAGCTATCTCCACACAAATACTATTTTTTACCGCAGGAAATTATCTCATTCGCACGGGAAAACACGTTATAATACAACCTACCACAACTTGTCATACCTATCTATCTATGCATATAAAATGCTTTGTCCTGAATGACTGACTGACTGGCGGACCAACACACAGCCTAAATCGCTGATCGTAGAGACCTGAGTCTTGGAGGTTGTGTTCTTTATATGACGTAGGCATCCGATAAGAAAGGATTTTCCGAAATTCATCCCCTAAGTGGGTAAAATAGGGGGTAAAAGATTGTATGAGACTCTATCATTCTTAATAAATACACAAAGTGGTATTTAGCAATAAAATAAGAAATATATTTATTTGATTTTTTTCGAAATTCATCCCTCAAAGTGGTAAAAGGGGTAATAAAGTTTATATGTGCAAAAAATTTGTTATGATCAGAATTACTTGAAACTTGATATTAACTTGCTCTTCAATGTGTATGTGTATTCAGCCCTTTTTATCGTCCCACTGCTGGGCACGGGCCTCCCTTCAGTACGAGGGGAATCAGGCCATAGTCCACCACGCTGGCCAAGTGCGGGTTGGCGGACTTCACATGTCTTTAGAAAACTTGCTAAGTTCTCTCAGACATGCAGGTTTCCTCACGATGTTTTCCTTCACCGTAAGGCAAGTGGTAATCATGTTAGAAATGATTCGCACATGAAAATATCAGAGGTGCGAGACCCGGGATTTGAACCCGCTTCACTCGGTTTCTCAAGCGAGCGCGTTACCACTGGGCTACCACTGCCTTTTGCTCTTCAATACAATTCACTAAATACGTGTTTTAGCATTTTTCGAAATTCATTCCATAAGGAGGATGAAATTTTGTATGAACCTCTGTAATTGATGCACGAAAAGTGGTATTTACCTTTAAAATGAAAAATAAAACAATACAAATATCATTTTTTTTCGAAATTCATCCCTCAAAGGATGAAAGTGGGTTGTGCTGTTTATATGAGGAAAAAATTGTTTATGATCAAAATTACTTGAAACTTGGTATTAATGCTCTTCAATACAATCTAATATCTAAAATAAACATGTATTTTAGATTTTTTTATTCATAATTATTCAAAATTGGGCGGTGAAGTTGGAGTTGTTGAATATACCTATTTAAACAGTAACATGGCTCAAGTTTTCCGTAAGTGCGATCTTACTATGTGGGATATAAAGTAGAGAACGGAAATTATTCCGAATCCAAAGGAAAATCATGTATAACTTCTCGGCTAGCCACAGCAGTATCAACTATAACAGACCTAGAGCGCGAAAGAGAGAATCTTGCTAGAGATCTGCTATCTATATTCTCCTTCTGAAGGTTGACACAACTGTAATGAAAAAGTCACCTAAGCTGTGTAACGGGATTACACTGTGCGTAATTTATTAAGAATTATAGTAGCCACTGCCTACTGTGTTTGTTGAATGTTGTCTGGGGGAATCAGAATTGATACCTCGAATACCATTGATAACTTCTTTAATCTATTGTAATTCTTCCTTAAAGTTTGCTTTGCAATGACCATTAATATTTATATCTCAGGGCTATTCGTTAAAAGTAGCAGGCGTAGACTTAAGAGATGATAGCTTCTCACAGAGACATCTTAGCAGAACCCAGAACTAGACAGAACATCCATCGGTGTGGTATTTTTGTAGTTGGTTGTTTTAGCGTCGACTAAGTTATGTGAAACTACAGTATTACTCTAGACATAGTATTAAAAATTCGATATGACAACACATAAATTCAATGGAATTTAAAACTAAGCAAGTTTTTCATTCCAAGCGAGCGTAGCCGCGGGCAAAAAACCGCAGCAAAATAAGAATGGCACTTTATATATGTTACTTAAGAAAGAAGGAGATGGAAGACTTAGCTTCAGATGTACATAACATATTTGTATGTTAATTAAAAGGCCCATATTAAGCGAGTTACATGATTCTAAAGTCGTAAGAATTGTATGCAATTATATCATTGTACTCTCTTCCTCTAACTTTGGAAAGATGGAGTAGAAAAATGTGCAAAAATTGAGGTAGTGAAGCTTGCTAAATACTTAAAATGAAAATTTATTTACAGAATATACATTTCACATCTCTTAAGATACTGGATATTTTGAGTTACGATCGCTAAAATTAATTTTGTTTTCCATAAATCTTTAAGAAATAATAAAACTTACACTAAATAATTTGTGCAAATAATAAAGTATATTTTGCGAAAAAGTTTATTTTTTACGTAGTTTAGATGCGGGCGAAGCCGTGGGTTCTAGTTCTAGTGTATATTATTATATATACAGGTAATATATAGTCTATCTATTCAATACTAACCGTTAAAAAGTAAATAGGTAATAGGTTTCTACAATTATATTTCTGAAAGAAATTGTCAGAAGGGTTACGTTCACGTTACAAAATTCATTTACGTAATAAAATATACATATTTATTAATTAGCCAGTCACCCTCGCGTCGCTCGGTGATTCTTTAAATTATCAAAACTTTGTTTATGAACTGATTGAAATGAAACAAATACTTAATGTTAAGTGAAGCTTACCACAATATATTAGTGAAAATTGCACTCAAATTGGTTAAACCGTTTCTGAGATTAGCGCACGTACAAACGCACAGATAAACAGACGAAAATTCTAAAAATCAATGTTTTGGGTTATATTGCGTTATTTCAAAGACCACAATAATAGTTTTTCTCAAACATCTTCCATGTACAGTCAGCCATCAGTTACACTTTTATTGTACCTACCTACGGTACATTTTAAATCAGAGGTACCAAAACTTTTTTTTCTTGTAGACCACTTTCAAAATTTTACTGGTTGCGGTGGACCTCTTGCTGCTACATTTCTACCATATTCCCAAAAGTCGTTAAAATTGTGAAGATTAGATTCTATATATAGAGATCTGAGTTTAAACCCTAAAATTCGGAGTGGTAAAAATAAAAAGAAAAATGTTATAATTTCTTGTGATCTATTTATTAAAATGATTACAGACTTAATAGAATTAAAATTAAACATTAATAAAGTACTGTAATTTCCACAATGCAAATCAACAAATAAAAAAATTGTAATAAAATGCTCTTTTTAAAGTCTCAGAAGAACATTTTTCACCGAGATACAGCCTGTCGAACTTTCGAACGTTTTCAACAGAAAGT